TTTACGGGCTTTGAGATGCTCGCGAGATAATGAGAAAGAACTTCGGTCTGGTAATTGTTCGGAATGCTCTTCAGCCTCTGCTCTAAGTTTAGCTGCGCACACAGACTGTTGAGCCTCGGAAATCGGCGAAAAGCATAATAGTTTCCTGTAAAACAGTTCAAATTCTGTCATGACGATTTCTTTGTTGTTACAAGAAGGCGGAATTCCGAAGTCTGTTCCACGGGAAAGAAGTTCTTTTTGCACATCAGTCAATTCCACGGCTGACATGTTGATGATGCTGTTTGGATTGAAGGTAACCTGGCCATATCTTTTCTTTCGAAGCCAGGTGAAGGTCTTGTCATACTTAGCGATCAGTCGTATGCGTTGTCTATCATCGTTTTCAGATAAGAGCAGCGAGAAGCGTAGGAAGTCATGGGCGGACAAAAACGAACGCGCACGGTCATATAAGTACTTAAACTGGACACGGGCATTAGACAAAGAGTCACGCGACCTGGCAATATCATCTTTGAGAAATACTCTCTCTATTGATAAGGAATGATAGGCCTTGGTCTTCTGAACGCGTTTCTGAACACCACAGGGACAGACACCAGTGTTCAGACACCGTGTCAGAAACGAAACGTTATACGCGACATTACGGCAGTAGAAACGTTTCCTCAGCACAGCATTCAGCAAATCTATCTGATTTTGTGTGCACCTCAATCTGAAATATGTAAATAGGCGTCGAGGCGACAATAGTTTTAGAATTGCGATCAACAGAACGAGCTGAACCGACATTTTCACAAAGGCTTTTATTGTATTCAAAAAACGAGTGTATACGAAGGCAGTGAAGAACATGGAAGAAAGAAAAAATGAGTGTGAGTGTGAGTGTGAGTGTGAGTGTGAGTGTGAGTGTGAGTGTGAGTGTGAGTGTGAGAGCGAGAATGATCGTGTGAGTAAGAGTGGGTGTGAGCGTGTGTTTTCTAGTAGGAAGTCATCAGTGTATAAGCATCTTGCATCTCGTCCTGATTGCTGTAAGGTTTATTCTGATTCTTCTTTTTCTGTTTTGTGCCGTGCTCGTCATGGTTATAAGTTGCAGTTGAGTGTGTTAGAAGCCGTTTGTCAACGTATTCATAAGCCTAATCTGTGTGTCCAGAAGGACAGCATTATTCGTTTGAAATTGTTTTAGTAGCAACTTGTTCTGTCTGTTTGGCTCTGGTTGGCCATGGTGTCATATCTTGTGTCACAGTATACTAGTAGTCCTCCTTACAAGTTCGTTAAGTGCTTTCGCAGTTTTTCCTGTTATTACCTTAGTGCTAGGATTATCATTTTCATAGGTGTTGTTTCTTCTCACTCCATTTCTCTTTATTAGTATCTTTCTGGATTGTTTTTCATTAGTACAACGTAGCTTCCTGAGGAGTGTTGTGCGAAAACTAGTTCGAAGTACAATTTTTTGTTCATCATTTCTTCCACATCACATTTTTTCTTTCTTCCATGTTCTTCACTGCCTTCGTATACACTCGTTTTTTGAATACAATAAAAGCCTTTGTGAAAATGTCGGTTCAGCTCGTTCTGTTGATCGCAATTCTAAAACTATTGTCGCCTCGACGCCTATTTAATTATTACTATTATTATTATTATTATTATTATAGTCTCTTGCCCTCAAACCAGTTAATAAATTATTATTATTACTTCGAAGTATTATTATTATTATTATTATTATTTGAAACTCGGATGTTGAGCCATAAATAAATGTGGAAGAGAAAAGGACATATGGATACGAGTTAAGAGTAACTCTCCATCACTGTAACATGATACTATTATACAGTCAGAAAGTGCAATAACTAGGCACAAAACTGACAGAGTACTGAAACATTCGACGTCCTGACACCTAGCTTCAACACATCTCCGTAGCGCTAACCGACAGCCTTCCAACTTGGAAGGTTCAAGGTTATGGAAAAGACCAAAGAGGGGAAGGCAAGCGCAACGAAAACGAGCAAAAGCCACAGTCCCAAAGGAACAAAGAATGTCGATTGTTACTGGACGATGACGAGACCAGTACGATATTTGACAAAGCGGTCTAACTACAATTCGAAGCAGCAAAGCAGCACACCACCCAACTTGGGTGGGTCATAAATATCAAAGATAAGTAAAGAAAGGGAAGCTTTGCGAAAACGAATTGTACAAGCCGAAAGCCAAACTCCTACAGTACTCCTCATGCATGACATTGTGATGGACTAGTTGACTACAAAACAAGTTGTCAGTTTTGTGCCTAGTTATTGCACTTTCTGACTGTATAATAGTATCATGTTACAGTGATGGAGAGTTACTCTTAACTCGTATCCATATGTCCTTTTCTCTTCCACATTATTATTATTATTATTATTATTATGAAATGACCCAAAGGCAATGTGCCTATCGAGAGGTTCATTTGATTGAAAGAACAGTAGATGTAGATGTATGTACAAAGACAAGTAGGGATTGATGAGGAGAGAAATGGGGAAAATCAACTGCAAGGTGGCGAAATTCCGTTGATTGCATAAGCATGGTCAGTTGTAAATTTCTTGAGGGCAGCTTTGAACTTATAGAGAGTAATGCTGTCTACAGCACTGGGTACTAGTGGGTACTAGTACTATAAACTTCAATACGGATCAAAAGCACGTTCTAGAACACGCAGCATTACGCATCCGAGGGGCTTTCAGGAGCTGTACATTTTGGCAACAAAAAAGCAACATTTTTTGGATACGTTTTCACCACCCAAGGACAGAATTCACAAAACAAATAGGTATAAGTTTCCTTTATCCACTGACAATGTTGTTCAGGGACAACGAAACGTCTGGAGAAGTACCGTAAATATTTCTATCTTTATTTATCAATTATCATACACCCACTCTTTGGTCTAGAATGAATACTTTTTTTGATATTGCAATTAAGTAAGTAAGTAAATTATCGTATCCGTTCCCGAAGGGAACAATGAGAGTGGATAATCAATGGCTTGTCCACCAACTCTTTAAAACAAATAGGACTGAAGTGTACAAGTAGAGAACATAAACTCCAGCACCTATATTGTATGATCAGTGGCTATTGCCAAGTGTATGAAAAGGGTGAGTTGCTATGCCCACCATACTTATCAAATTCAATATCCCATTCTACATCTTCATGTGTTAAGAACACGGGGAGAAGTCTAGATAGTGGTGTAACACCAAAGCAGAAAGAGGAAAATGAGCTGATAATTTAGTATATGTCCCAGGGACACTAGTTCGTGAAACCTTTTGAAATGGCAATACAAAAAACAGATCCCGCAGACATAGCAGACATATTGAACACGCAGTTTACGTCGTTTGGACTTCCTGACGACCCTACGTGGCCTATACCACCACTCACCCCTTCACCCTCAATACCTGCGTCCCTCCTATCATTGTCGACTGGTACAGCCCAAGTGAGGAAATATCTCCGTAATCTGAAAACTGGCAAGTCCCCTGGTCAAGACGGAATTACCAACGAAGTTTGGAGAGCTCTTGCTCCGTCTGTTGCCTATCCTGTGTCAATTATCTTGAATATGTCATTTCGCGAAGGGAAATTCCCAACCATGTGGAAAACTGCGGTAGTCGTGGCCACCTACAAAAATAGAGGACCACGCACCACCCCCAGCAACTATCGCCCTATCTCATTGCTCTCTACTTTATCAAAAGTGTGCAAACGTGTTGTATATGACATCATTTATGATCATGTTCGCATTTCACTTTCGCCAGCACAGTCGGGCTGTTCTCGGGGTGACTCCACCAGGTACCAGGTTACCCGCCTCGTGCAAGACATCCACACCGCCCGGAACGCCCATAACCATGTTGGTTTAGTTTTCTTCGATCTCGCAAAGGCCTTCGACACTGTTTGGCACAGGGGTCTCTTAGCTAAGCTGCGAACAGTACATCGCATTGATGGCAAGGCTATCGGCTGGCTCTCATCGTATCTCTCTAACCGACATCAGCTTGTACGCCTCTCAACTGTGTTATCGGAGCCTTTACCCGTTACTTCTGGAGTCCCCCAGGGTTCAATCCTTGGGCCACTGCTATTTCTCCTGTATATTAATGACCTCCCCGATATTGCCCCTGGTGTCAGCCTTTTCGCTGACGACACAGCTCTGCTTTGCTCCAATGCTTGCCCTATACGACTGCACGAAGCCATGCAAGATAGCATTGGGAAAGTTATAACCTGGATGCATGATTGGAAGTTGCAGCCAAACGTTGATAAAACGGCAGCTATGTACATTTCCCCTTCTCCCCCTTCCCTGCCACTTTGTTTTCCTTCTTCAAGTGTTGCTATTCGTATTGTTGAAGAGCATAAGCATCTTGGCGTTATTATTCACTCTAAATTGTCGTGGTCACCCCATGTGCAGTATGTCTGCAAGCGCACAAGCTCCATCCTTGGGGCTCTTCAAGCCCACTGTAGACATCTTCCTCTTTCTTGCAAACGCTTGTTTTATCGTTGCTATATATTGCCCTTACTTGACTACTGTGATACTGCTTGGTCTGGCATAACTACTACTGTATTGAACAAGCTAGAAACCCATAACCGCATGCTCCTTAAAATCTTATTTAGCAAAGATCGTCGCTTTCCCTCCGCTAGTCTTTACGAAATTGCCAAGATCAGTCCCCTTTCCACTCGACATAAGTACCACCTCTGTGTTCTCATACATAAAATATTACTAAATAAAATACCCTTGCATATGCAGGCTTATAATTGGTTCTCCGGAACACGGAACACCCGGAACTCACTCAGTCTCCCACGCGCTGCCTCCACCCTATTCACTAGATCCCCGATCTTTGCTGGCTATGTGTTTTGGGCAACATTACCAACGCAGGCCAAGACCAGCACGTCGATGGATCATTTTGTTGCTAAAATCTCTGCTCAATTATAGGTTTCATGTATATCCTGCTGGTTTGTCTCCTCCTTTGCCTTCTTTACCTCTTATTTGTATTCTTTTATCTGTTTTACTGCTGTGGTTGGCTTTCACCCTTGTCTCAGTTTTATTGGCCGTCATCATGATGTGCCATGAGATAATGATATAAATACAAAAAAGTACTAATTCGTTTAGGGTACCGCATGTCGATGAGCTCCGACATCGGTAGGCCCCAAGTGCCGCAGTTGTAGGTAAGGACTGGGATGACGTAGGCGTAGTAGAGCCTCAGCCGAAGACCTTCACTGATCTGGCGCCTCCGGGTCCAGATCTTGAGGAGTGAGTTGAAGGCGACGGCGGCCAGTTGACGCCTCCGAGCAGCATCTTCGGCGTCACCAAGGAGAGAGCCTAGTTGGTGGACAGTACGCCACGTTTCTTGGTTCCTATCGGGAAATCGGGCGACGGTGGTATGCTCTGTCTTGGAGGGATTAACGTTCAGGTTCCATCTCGCAAGAACTGCTGGAGCTTGTTGTTCAACTTCACTGAGAAACATCTCATCCCGGCTCACAAAATCAACATCGTCCGCGTATGCGATATCCAGCGGCAGGTCATTGTCCACAGCAGGGCGAGATGGCAGCTCCTGTCGTAGGTCCCGGAGAGCAGCCTCCAGGTAAATGGTGAAAAGCACTGGAGAGAGACTGTCCCCTTGAGGGACTCCGATATTTGTCTTGAAGGAGCTTTTCGATGCACCTTTCACACGAGGTTCAAGCCAGGTTTCAGTCAACAGTATACGAATTAGCAATGACACTCTGTATAAGCGCTGCGGAGCTGTCCCCATCAGCGAGATGATCACAAGGCAGCGCTACAGTCTCGCTGCCCATATCTTTCGTTTGGCCCCAACCGCTCCTCCACAGTTGGCAGTGGATATGTATCTTCGCCTGGCCAACGACGAGGGCACTGAACGCTTTAGGGGTCGACCTCGGACGACTTTGGTAACGGTCTTGCAGACGGAACTGTTATCATGGCATGGACTTACCCTCCACCAGCCGCTAGATGTTGACGCAGTCCGCACAATGGCAGCGGACCGACAGGCATGGCGTGGAGCCCGCCCCACCTAACAGGACTGACCAGACATGTTGTATGCATATTCTATTTTATTTTATACTTTGGATGACGTTTTCCATTAGTCATATTGGTGTTGTTGCTAACGGCTTTTGTTGACGTCACTTCTGTCATTTCATTGTATGGTATTACTCTTCAGACATCAATCCTGAATGGCATAAGCGAAAGTGGCACCCCCGCCACCTACGCGGACATGCTTTTAATAATATATAATAATAATACAAGTACTTTTCGTTAGAAATGCAACTGCTAGAGTTCTAAGCACACGGAGCAATTGGGGGAAGGTGCTTCTTATTGTTCAGTTCCAGTTGCGTTGACAGTCAGGACCTATTCTGGAACGCGGATCCACTACCGTTGAGCACTTGCTCACAACAATATTGTTTCGCAACAAAAGAAGCTATGGGGATTTTCCGGGGGAGCGAAGGAAAGGTTACGATGCGATCCTGCACTCCCAGTGCTTTAAGTTAAGTTACTTTGATTTGTTTAGTTCCAGGATGGTGTTGACGCTGGCAGGGATCATATCAAATTTCACTTTCTGCATTAGTGCGCAATTGAATGTGAAGCTTGCCTGCTGAGGGAGAAAGCACCATTTCACTGTCCCTCTTGTAATGCATAAATGTACATAACAGTGCTATCCCCATTGTTCACGCTGGTTTGCTCACCCGTGTTCTAAGCTACATGTACATGTAGAGGCCACTCTCTTGATCAGAATCGTAGGGTAAAGTCATGCTGCAGGTCAGTCCATCAGCATACGCGAGTGGATGTGCGATGTTGTTGGCTGGCACCATTGTCTTCCGCGCAAAGTTACACTTGGTGGACACATCGCGGATTGCTAGCGGAATGAATTCTCCGTGGTCTTGCACCACATCACGGTGCGGTTCCATGACTCTTCTCTAGAGGATAGATGCTGGTGTAGCAATTCCCCCTCGCTCTGCTCCAGTAATGATTTGATTTTGAGAGAAGGTTTGAGGCTTGTCAACCCTGACCGGAATATTGAAAGCTGACATCAAGAGGTTTAAAGCGATTCTTTTGTCTTTCTCTAAATATGGAACAAGAGCCGGGATGAGCTCCTGAAGCGAGAGAGAGAGAGAGCTGAGTTTGGATTCGCGACTGTTTCCTCACCCATGGTATCTCCGTAAGCACCAGGGATTTCTCCAGCAATTCTTGGGCCTTCACTGTTGCCTTGCCTGGCAAATGTCAAAAACGTTCTGCTGACAAAACGTGTGCGGTGAGTGCATGTACATGTACATGTGCTCGTTGGAAAACTAAAGTATGGAGAGAATTTTGAACATTTGTTGCTTGGATGACACATACACCATAGCTCAGGGGTAAAGCATCGCTGGCCCTAAGCGAGGGACCCTGGCTCTAATCCTGGTGGAGATAGTTAAATGTTTACACCGTTTTCCCCGTTGTCAACTCCCTCAGCCTTATGAAAATTGTATCTATTCAGCGTAAAATACTTTGATGTTGAGCCAACAGTATAATGTAAAAAGGAAAGGGCACATATAGATACAAGTTAAGAGTAACTATCCACCACTGTCAGTAGATACTGCAACTGTATATTATTATACAGTCAGAAAGTGCAACAACTATCCATAAAACTGACAGAATACGGAGACATTCGACGACCTGACACCTGGCTCCAATAAATCTCCGAAGCGCTAACCAACAGCCTTCCAACTCGGAAGGCTCTAGGATTCAAAGAATGTCGACTGTTACTGGCCGATGACGAGACCAGTAAGATATCTTTGTCCGTCACCGGGAAATCTTACTATTATGATTATAAGCACTATCGCGATGTAAGCGGGGATGCCTACTTCACTTGTGCCATCTAGTGTAACCGTCCAACCAGAGCGATTCAGGATCAAGAGTAGAACGACTTTATTATACCATCAACGGGGTTATATGGGACAGAAGTGTAATCCAAGGTGAACATGCAACACAGGTGTGATGTAACACAACGTAAGTGGGAACGTGTAGTAGGATGCACAGTGTGAGTGTGTGAATCTGTTACACCACCCCCCTCGTCAGCAAAGGTGAGCCGGGCTAAACACGAGTAGGTAAGCATTATAATACCAGTAAATCAATATTATTGGTTCGAAAATAATTGCTAACACAAGAGGCAATTCAAGGTATGGTAGGAAGTAAAACTCAACGCAGGAAAGGCGGCTATTGACGACGCTTCGTTTTCAAGTAACTCTGCAGCGGAATAATTTCCTTGTTAGACTCGTCCAATAAATGTTCGATAGGCTCCCAGGTGTTCTCACTGTAGCCACGCCATTGAACTAGATACTCCATGCGGCCCCTCCGTTTCCGTTCATCGACGACCGCGTCTACAATATAACGCGTGTTGCCGTCCAGATCCGTTATTGGTGGCGGAGGCGGCTGTTGCCGTCCTGGTATAGAGTTCTCCTCATACCGCCTCAGAGCTGACACATTAAACACCGGATGACAACGCATATTGGCAGGAAGTAGCAACCGGAAGGCATTGGCACCAACCTTCTCAGTTACAGGAAATGGACCATACCATTTGGAACGCAGCTTAGGGGACGGCTGATTCCGCGCCTCGGGAGTAATGAGGAAATCCCTATAGACCAGAACACGGTCACCAACCTTTATAGTACTGGGGGCACGAGTGTTGTCCGCATACAAGGCCTGCCGCGCCTGAGCCGCTACAATAGCATCCTTAGCAACGCGTAACGCATCCTGTTGCTCCTTCACCCAATCAGAGTGTCCGACTCCCATACGATCACCCAGCAAATCCGCTGGGGCTCGGGGGTGAAACCCAAAATTCAAATAAAATGGGGTATGCGATGTAGAGGAATGGTGGGCACTATTGATGGAGAACTCACAAAGAGGCAATAGCTTATCCCAATTGTCATGCTTATGGTTAATGAATGCACGGAGGATGTCTTCAACCAGCCTATTCACCCTCTCCGTTAATCCATCTGTTTGGGGATGGTTTGCCGTGCTGAAACAAAGCTTGGTTCCCAGAAGTTGAAACACCTCCCTAAAAAAGGCAGAAGTGAACCGAGGATCTCTATCTGAGACAATGGATGAACTCAAACCATGCAACCGAAAAACGTTAGCTATGTACAATTCAGCACTGCCCTTGGCATCAATGGATGTGGTAGTCGGTACCAAATGAACGCATTTAGTCAGGCGGTCCACAAAGGTATAAATAGCATCATGTCCAGCAGCTGTCCTAGGAAGACCCGTAATAAAATCCATGGCGATATCCTCCCACGGGCCTTTGGGTATTGGTAATGACTGCAGCAGGCCCGTGCGCAGCCTCCCCGGTTTAGTTCGCTGGCAAATATCGCAAGACTTCACGAAACGTTTGACATCGAGTCCCATTTTCGGCCAATAGAAAAATTTTGCCAAGCGTGAATACGTGCGGTCACGCCCTGGGTGACCTGCCGTCACGCAGTCATGGTTCTCCTGTACCAATTTCAGCCGTAGGGTACACCTCGGTATGCATAAACGGTTGCTAGGAGACGCCTTCAAGTAGAGGAACCCGGAGTCGTTGTCGATGAAGTACTGACTGTGCACATTGTCACTGTCGGGGCGCTTCATTCGTTCCATAACTACACTCAGCTCAGGGTCCACGGCATAACTGTCCAGTATCATGTTGGCTATATCGTCATTGACCTCCAAGGTATATTCTATAGCGTTTAGTCGAGCTTCAGGCGGAACCACATGATCTTCGTCCCTTAAGTCCGGGCGGCGTGACAACGGATCCGCCACATTCTCCTTGCCAGGTTTATGGTGAATAGTGTAATCAAAGTCCGCAAGAAATTCAACCCAACGGGACTCCCTTTTCGTGAGATTTGATTTTGTCAGTAAGTAGACTGCTGCTCGGTTGTCTGTGAAAACGTCAAAGTGTTCAAACAAATAAATGCGCCACATCCGGAGGGCGGACACAACTGCTAACGTTTCTCGTTCCGACGCTGTGTAGTTCCGCTCCGCCGAGGAAAGCTTTCGACTGCCGTACGCCACTGGCAACCAACAACCAGGTTCCCCCTCCTGCGAGAGCACCCCCGCGATTGCAAAATCGCTAGCATCAGTTTCAACTCGGAAGGGTTTTGATACGTCTGGAAGTCTCAAAATAGGGGGATTTAGCAGTGCCCTTCGCAACTCCTCGAATGCTGCCTGGGCCTCACCAGTCCATGAGAACCTGGTGTATTTACCCGTTAGCTCCTCCAAGGGCTTGGAAATATATGAATAGTGTCTAATAAAGCGACGGAAGTAATTGGTAAACCCGAGAAATTGTCTCACGTCTTTCACCGTACATGGGGTGGGCCAATCACGAACTGCAGCCAACTTCTCCGGATCAGGGCTAATCGAGGAACCGGTCAAACGGTGACCCAAGAATAGAATTTCTTCCACCGCAAACTCGCATTTCGGTAACTTGCAGAATAGTTGGTTAGCGCGGAGGGTAGTCAGAACGGTTCGAATGTGCTCAACGTGCTCTTCCAGGGTTTTGCTAAAAATCAGAATGTCATCCAGGAACACTACCACGAATTGGCGCAAGTACGGCTGCAGAATGGAGTTCATCAGTGATTGGAAGGTTGCCGGGGCATTAGTCAGACCAAACCCCATGACCCTGAACTGGTAGTGGCCAAACGGGGTGTTAATTGCCGTTTTCGGCACATCCTCCTGTTGTATCCTGATTTGGTTGTATCCTGCGCGAAGATCAAGCTTCGAGAAATATGC